TGTTTTCTGCCCATGTTACAATCATGTCTAGTTACCTTTGTCTTTCAATAGAATTTTCCATCTATTCTAATGCTTTACATTGTCAAGCTTTAAGGACAAAAGAATAGAATTTAATAAATAGCAAGAGAAGAGAATCATGGGTAAGCTGTAAACAAATCAGCAAGTCAGCTGGCTAGGAAGCAGCTATTTTAATATTTGAGACCACAAAAACCAGGGTGTTATGTCACTGATGAGCCATCCGAGCACTCATTCTCTACCCAACATCCTTAACAGCTTTGGGAGGTTTGTTCATCCAGAACATAAGCAAGTCATGAGTGACTAGGTAAAGATACTAGAGAAAAGGGTGATTCTAGAAGCATGGCAGATTGTGACAGCTAGGAAATTCCTATAATAATTACACAAAATAACTCCATGATATGACAAGACTATAGGAAATTAAGAACTATTAACAGAAGTTAAGAAGCTCCACCATCAGGATACTCTTCTCACTGCCTCTGTTTCAGCTCTGCACAGTGAAATGATTGCTTTTTAGAAGCAAACTGAGAAAGCATGTCTCCACTGTTTTCTTCTTTGATACTGAGGGTTTTCCCAAAGTAATCTCCAAATGAAGTAGTTTTTTTCTCTTTGAATTTTATGTTTTGACTGCAGTCAGGGAAGCAGACAGACTAAGTGCAGATCTTCACCTCTCCCTTCCCTCTTCCAAATCCAATCCCATAGTCTCATCCTCAGCACTGGAATAGAACACCTTCTGAAGGCTCCCCGTCCTTTCTGTCCACATCTCCAATGGCTCATGTAGACCTTTTCCTCCAAATCCCCCCATTGCATTATTCCAGTTCCCAAACACCAACAAGTATTCCTTGGGAACCCACAGATCACTCCAGACAAGGAACCAGGTAGGCTTCCTACAGATCTTCACATATCCCCCTGAGTCTCTAAATTCATTCCCCATGGCTCATCCTTATCTGTGTAATAGACTACCATCTGAAGGCTTCCTTCCTCTCTGTCCACATCTCCAAGGGCTCCTATAGACCTTTTCCTCGAAAGCCCCCCATAACTTTACCCCAGCTCCCAAACACCAGAAGGTAGTCCTTGGGAATCCACAGATCACACCAGAAAGGGAAGCAGGTAGTCTTCTTACAGATCTTCATATCTCTCTCTGAGCCTCTAAATTCAATTCCCATGTCTCATCTCTATCTCTGTAGCAGACCACCTGTTGCAGCCTCCCCTTGCTCATTGCCCCCATCTCTAGTCAAACACCAGACTTTCTCCTCCACCCCACCCACCAACTCATCCTATCTTCTTAGTCTCCAATGCCAGAAGGCATTCTTTGGGAAAATGTTGGTCACAGAGTTTAGGGAACTAGGGAGGCTAACTGCAGATCTTCATCACTCTCTCTTCTCCTAAAAATCTAACCCCCTAGTCTCATCCTCCACTCTGTAGCAGACCATCTGCTTCATTTTTGTCTCTGTCCCTGCCCTCATCTCCAATAGACCACACAGTTCATAAACTCTACCCTCCTGCCACCATCTTTATCGAAGTTATCAACTCCAGTGGGCATTCTCTGCAAACCCTCCAGCCAAGACCATCAGAGAAGTCGGTCAACAAAGCAAGTAGACAAGCTTCAGATCTTCACTTTCCCTCCATTGCTCCATAACCATTTCTCAGTCCCATCTCCAGTTCTGTATCAGATTACCTGTTGTGGCCTCTTATCGCTCTCTGTTTCCATTCCCAGTACACTAAGAAGATCCTGGTGGAATTCCTGCTTTCATTTTTCTTATGGACCTGCTCAGTCCACTACCCCCTCCTATGTGATCCCCATTCTTAAGTGTCAGCTCCCAATATAAAGAAATATATTTAACCTGGAACTCCTAGAGACCACATCTATCAGCATCTAAGAACTGCCATTAAGGCAATACACAGCCAACACATGTTCTTAAAAAAGAGTCAGGACAACAGAAACCATGAAACAAAATACCCACCCAACAAAGACAAGACAGATATCATCACCTAGAATTACAGTCCTCCTAAATACAGATGCCTATATGCCAGCATAAAAATACAAACAATAACAGCCAAGGCATTATGTCTACACTAGCGCTCAGGAACCCTACCACAGTAGACTTAGTATTGCAACATACTTGAAGAAACAACCTTAAAACAGCCTTTGTGAATATGATTTGAAAATGCAAAGAAACAGTGGAGGAATATTAATATAAAAAATTCAAGACCTGAAAGTGCAAATAGCACAAAGAAATAAAAAACTCAAGTGAGATCTAAGAATGGAAAACGAGGACCTTGAGCAGGAACCTCAGAGGCAACCTGATGGGTGATGTTGCTCTGTATGCTCTGAATATGTGGCATCATATAGATGAACAGAAATGGGCTGAGTTTAAGTGTAAGACCTAGTCAGTGGTAGGCCTGAGCTAATGGCTGAGCGGTTTTAATGAATATAAGCCCCTGTGTGTTTACTTGGGGACACGAGTAGGGGAGGTTTGTCCTGACCACCAGAAGACAGGACATAGAAAAACCTTCAGCTCCAGCAACCTCACCAACAGAATACAAGAGAGGGAAGCAAGAATCTCAGGCATTGAGAGCATGATAAAAGAAATGGATACCTCAGCCACAGAAAATGTTTCATCTTAAAAAGTCATGACATAAATCATGCAGGAAATCTGAGAAACTAGGAAAAGACAAAATCTAAGAAAAATAGGAATAGAAGAAGGAGAAGAAACATAGTTCAAAAGCACAGGAATTATTTTTCAACAAAAATATAGTAGAAAATGTCCCTAACATAAAGGAGACACCCATCAAGGTAAAAGAAACATTTAGAACACCAAATAGTCTGTACCAGAAAAGAAAATCCCCTCAGCATGTAACAATTAAAATACTGAATGTTCAGAACAAAGAAAATTTAAAAACTACAGAGGCAAAAAGACTGAGAAAAACATAAAAAGATTAACATATTATAATTATACCTGACTTCTAAATGGAAACCTTAAAAGCCATAGAGCCTGGACAAAAGTTCTACAAACTCTAAGAGACAATACATGCCAGCCCAGAATAATATACCTAGTAAAATTTTAATTCACAATAGTTATAAAAATAGGATATTCTGTGATAAAACTAAATTTAAGCAATATGTATCAACAAATCCAGCCCCATAGAAGGCACTAGAAGGAAAACTCTAATCTAAAGAGGTAAATAACATCCAAGAAAACATAGTGAATAAATAATAACAGACCAGAAACTCAAAAGAGAGGATACAGACACACACACACACACACACACACACACACACACACACACACACACAAAACTAAAGAACTAAACAATAGTAATCAACAAACACTTCCATTGATATCTCTGAATATCTCAGCATCAATGTCTCAACTCCCAATAAAAAGACACAGACTAATAGAAAGGATGCAAAATACATAATCCATTTTTCTGATACATCCAAGAAATACACCTAAATATCAAGAATACACATCACCTCATTGTTAATAGGCTAAAAAATATTCCAAGCAACTGAACTTAAGAAGTTAGTATTGTCATTTTAATATCTAACTAAATAGACTTCAAATCAAAACCAAAAAGAAGAAACAAGGACACTACACACTCATCAAGGAAAAATATACCAAGAGGATATTGCAATTCATAACATCTACCCACCAAAACACAAGGCCACCCAAGTTTATAAAATAAGCAATACTACAACTTAAATCACATATTAACCCTCACACACTGATAGCAGGACCTTCCATACCCAACTCTTGCCAATAGGCCAGTTATCCATACAAAAATTATCCAGAGAAATGCTGGAGCTAACTGAAGTTGTAAACTAAATGGACCTAATAGATATTTACGGAGCATTTCATCCAAACACAATAGCATATACCTTCTTCTCTGTACCTGATGGAACTTTCTGCAAAATTGACCACATATTCAGACAAGAAGTAAGTCTTAACAGATACAAGAAAATCAAAATAAGACTTTGTATGCTATCTGACCACCATGGATTAAAGCTAGATACCAAAAACAACAGAAAACTTACAAACCCATAAAAACTGAACAACACTTCAATGAATGAAAAATGGGCCAAGACAGAAATTCAGAAAGAAATTAAAGACTTTATAGAAAAAAATGAATACACAACATACCCAAACTTACAGGACAAAATGAAGACACTTCTAAGAGGCGAGTTCCTAACACTAAGTGATTACATGAATAAACAAACAAACTAAAAAACCTAAGAGCATTCTCATATTAGCAACTTCAAAGCACACCTGAAAGCTCTAGAACAACAACAACAAAAAGGAATCATAAGTAGAATGAATAGACAGCAAAACAAGGATGAAATTAATAGAATAGAAATAACAAAAATTATGAAATGAATGAAGCAAAGAGTTGGTTCTTTCAGAAATGTCAATAAGACTGACAAACCTTTGGCTAAATTAACTAAAAGGCAGACAGAGAAAATCCAAATTAACCAATTAAAGACAAAAAGGGAGTATAACAGCATGGAGGAAATCCAAAGAATCATAAAGGCATAATTTAAAAACCTGTAATCCATAAAATTGAAAAAAAAAACTGAAAGAAATAGGTATTTTTTTAAATTCATACCCCCTACAAAAGTTAAATCAAGATCAGTTAAGTAATTTAAACAGACCTATAACCAGTAGTGAAAGAGAATCAGTAATCAAAATGTTCCCTCCCTGCCCCCACAAAAAAAATCCCAAGGCCAAAGGGTTTTAGCTTAGAATTCTATCAGATTTTCAAAGAAGAGTTAATACTAGTACTCGTCAACTCATTTCACAAAATACAAATAGAAGAATCATTTCTCAAATTTTTATATGAAGTGTTACCCTGATGCCCAGAAAATATAAAGACTGAACAAGAAAAAAAAAATTTGAATCAATTTTTGTTATGAACATAGATGAAAAAAATCTTAATATAATGCTTGCAAACCAAATCTAAAAACACATAAAAAAATTATCCACCTTGATCAATTAGGCTTCCTTCCAGAAATGCACAGAGGGTTTAACTATGTAAATTGATGAAGGTATCCATCATATAAACAAACTGAAAGACAAAAGCACATGATCATCTCATTAGATGCAAAAGGAGCCTTTTTCAAGATGAAAGTCCTGGAGAAATTAGGGATGCAAGGGACATACCTCCACATACTAAAAGGAGTTTATAGCTTACCCATAGCCAACATCAACTTAAATGGAGAGAAACTCAAAGCACTAAAACCAGGAACAAGATAAGGTTGTCCACTCTCTTCACAGCTACTCAGTATAATACTTAAAGTCTTAGCTAGAGCAGTAAAACAAGTGAAAGAGAGAATAAAAGGATACAAATTGGAAAGAAAGAAGTCACAGTAAATTCATTTGTATATAATATCATATTTAAAATAAGTCAATCTTAAATTTCCAGTGTGAAACTCCTACAGCTGAAAAGCACTTTCAGCATAGTAGCTGAATGTAAAATATACTCACAAAATTCAGTAGCTCTCATATATACAAATGACAAATGGACTGAAAAAGAAATCAGGTAAATAACATTTCTCATAGTATCTTCAAATAATATAAGATGTCTTTGGATAACTCTAACTAAGAAAGTGAAAAACTTTATGATTAAAAACGGTAACATACTGATTCATCAAATTGCAGAAGATATCAGGAAAGAAAAGATCCATGCCCACGGATCTGTTGGATCAATAAACTAAACATGTCAGTCCTACAAAAGCAATCTACAGATTTAATGCAATCCTTATCAAAATTCTAACTCAATTCCTCACAGATCTTGACAATTTTCAGTGTCATATGGAAACACACACACACACACACAAAAATAAATAAATAAATAAATAAAAAAGCCAGTATGACCAAAATAAGGCTGGATAATAAAGAACTGCTAGATGTGTCATAGCTCCTGATTTCACGTTGTACTACAGGGAGTAGTAATAAAAATAGCATGACATTGGTACCAAAACAGACACACTGGTAAAAGAAATAAAATTGAAATCCTGGACATACATCCACAAACTCATGAACACCTGATTTTTGATTAAAAAAAAAAAAGCCAGAAATACGTACTAAAAAAAAAGACAGCATCTTAACAAATAATGCTGGTCAAACTGGATGGCTCTATGGGAAAGACTTAAAATAATCCATATTTATCAAACTTTACAAATCTCAACTCCAAATGTATCAAAGGCCTCAACATAAAATGACCTGTTTACAGTCCCTTTATAGGTGGCCTTGTTTACCACAATAAAGCATCTGATATTACTTTTTATTATTTTTCTTCAAACATCTTAAAATCACCTCTCCTATCCACATATCATCATGGTCATGAGATTCAACATTGTGTCCCTGATCCAATCCTCTAAGGGTGCCGACCTTGCATTTAATGGCCTGATTATCCTTCTGCATGCTGCATTGGTGTTCTCAAAAGCCAGATTTAATTATTATCTCTCTAGCTTCTGAATTTGGTATAATTCTATTTACAGCTGAAGAGAGCCTTTGTAAGAAATCCATGAAGGTTTCTTTGGGGCCCTGTATAACTTTGGTAAATGGTTCAATTTTCTTCCCTGCTTCCTCAATTCTATTCCATGCATTCACTGCTGCCATGTGGCATAGAATTAGAGTTTGGTTATCATGTAAACATTGTCTTTTTATATCAGCATAATCGTCTTCTCCAAGCAGTTGATCCTAGAAAATTTCCTCACCTCTAGCCCTACATCTTTGTTCTTTAGTTTTAGACTCCTCTTTCCACCAGGTTCTCCACTGTAACTGAGGCCCAGCCTCTAGGACAGCTGTAACCAATTCTTTCCAGTCCTAAGGGATAATTCTATTTCAAGTTGACGAGTTTAACATCTGCTCTACAAATGGAGAATGCATACCATATGAGACTATATGAGCTTCTTTAAATCTCCTCAAATCTAACATTCCCACTGGAGTCCAGTTAGCTCATACACACCCTTGAGCATTTAGCAGTTCCTGTAAGGTTACCTGGTAGATTAATGTTTGCTGTCTGGTAACCTGAGGCTGTTTCTCTGTAACCATATAATTCAATTCTGAGATACATTCACTTTTAAATTCTTCTTTCTGGGTCTGAATTTCTCTGTAATTCATTTTAACGGGTTTTTCTAAAGTTTTTATATGGCACTCAAATTGACCCACCTTTCTAATGCTAAAATAAAAATGATCAAACAAATAATATTCATAATTGATATTACATACATCCCATCAACATTAATTATCCTCTAATTGTTCCATTTTACAGAATGTCTAATGTGTTATCAAACACAGATCAGATTTCTTCCAGTGTAAAAATGTTTCCCATTTTTTAATGTGGGAAAAAATTCTCTTTTAACTAATTCCTCCCTTTAAGATATCTTAACTGACTTACCAGGTCCACAGTGGACGTCTGGGGGAATTTTAAAGCAGTTACCTAATGTGGTAGCAGTCTGAGATGGCAGTCCAGAGAGAGCCCACTCCCTACCAGGAGAGAAAAAGCCTAAGAGACTCTGGCCCATGTGGGGTAGAGATCTGGCCATGTGCAGCTCTGGCCTGAGCCTTGCAGCTCAAACCTGAGCTGGGGGCCTGTTAGTCCACAAGCAGATTTTTAAATGAATTCTTGCCACAAACATTGGGCATCAATTGCAGGACAAAGTGCTAAATAAAAAAAAAAAAAAAAAACCCGGAGCCAGATATTGGGGTGAAAATCTGAGAGATCAGAAAAGTAGAAAGAAGCCAGCCACATTCTTACCACTTGGAGATCCTCCTCCAAGGAGACCTACTTCCTGTATACCCACACCTTTCTGTTCTGCATCTCATTTTTTCTCTCCACCCAGCTATATTACTTCCTCTTCCTGTCCAGCTCTGTCACTTCCTGTCTGTCTGTGCAAATCTTCAGACTTTTATGGTTAACTAGTGTTGGAATTTAAGGTATGTACCATCACATCTGGCTCTGTTCCCAGTGTGGCCTTGAACTCAGAGAGATCCAGACAGATCTCTGCCTCCTGAGTGGTAACATTAAAGGTGTGTGCTACCATTGCCTGACATCTACGTTTAATATAGTGGCTAGCTTTATCCTCTGATCCTCAGATAAACTTTATTAGGGTGCACAATATTTTGGAGGACACAATACATTTCCACACATCTAAAACTTTTATGTTTTCTGTCAACTTAAAAAAAAATCTATGTAAACTTTAGCGAGTCAGGACTTGGATCCATCTGCCAAAGGTCAAAAGGATTTTAGATCCCGTGTTTAGTGACCACTCCTTCCAGTCAACTCCTTCCACCTTAAGCTCTCCCACTTACAGCCTATCTCTGGGGATGGGCTTTTCCTGCCCCTTCTGTTGGGTGTTCAAGTATATGCCCAAGATAAAGATCCCCCTAACTTTACCTTCTGTCCTCTGTCCTTGGTCTGTATCTGTCTCAGTAGATTTCCACTTAGCTGACAGACACTGTGATGGATAGTTTTATGTCAATTTGACATAAGCTAAAGTCATCTGCAGAATAGGGTACCTCTGAGGCATTAAGAAAATGCTTCCATAAGATTAAGCTGTACACATTTCTTAATTAGTACTTGATGAGGGAGGGCCCAGCCCATTGTGTATGGTGTCATCCCTAGGCTGAAGTCCTGGGCTCTATAAGAAAGAAGACTGAGCCAGCCATAAGGAGAAAGCCAGTAAGCAGCACCCTTCCATAGCCTCTGCATCAGCTTCTGCCTCCAAGTTCCTGCCTTGTTTGAGTTCCTGCTCAGACTTCCTTCTGTGAAGAACTACAATGTGGAAATGTAAACCAAATAAACCCTTTCCTCCTCAACTTGCTTTTGGTCATGGTGTTTCGTTACAACATTAGAAACCCTAAGACAGACAACATCCAGGAATCAATTGCCCAGCAAACTTTTCCCAATCCAGTAAACCATCAACATGCTGATGAAGGATGTTCTGTGTGAGCCAGTCTGGCCAAGTGAAAGAGAAGATTAATGACTTACATGAGCTGACTCACAAACTACATCCTCCAGGGGCTGATTCCTTTGCAGTACTCTCCTTTGTGTCTCTCTTAGGCCCCTGACTCCTCCTACCCCTCCCTTTGCCTGTCTCCTTGAGTCTCTTTTCTCCTCGGACTCAGAGATTCCACTAAAGCCTTAGGGACTGACCTACCTTGGCAAGGCAGAGTGGGATAGTCAACCCTCCAGTGTTGTTTGTTCACAGTTGGAGAAGGGCCTGGCAGCCGATGAAGTGTGGGGCAGTTCTCAGCCTAGGTGTCAGTGTGGCCACACTTGAAGCTGGTACCAGGTGGAGTCTCTTTGTGTCACACAATCACGATTGCTCTCTTTCTCTGCAGGTCCTTTCCAGAGAAAACTGGCAAAATCACACAGCGGTCTGTAAACCAGACACTTCTGACAAAATTTTCCTTCATCTCCTACTATCACCAACCTGCCTGCCTCCTCACCCTCAACCTTTGACAGACCTAGTTCCCAAACTTCCCAGAAACACTACAAATCCCAGTTTAGCTTAAAGAAGTCATATCATAAGTACAATCAGCCCCTACCATCAGCAAAAGGTTGGAATGTTAAGTCCCAACCACCCCTCAACTGCAGTGCCACTGACAATGTCCTAAATGACAGTCTGGGTTCTGCTCAGCCTAGACTCTTGATAGGTTCAACAGAGAATTACTGATGTGTACACTCAGCACTTCTCAAAAAACTGAAAAATGGGTTTCTGTCTGCTAGGAAAAGCTATCACTCCCTTATCTCCCCCTACCTTAGCAAATGAGGCATCTAGATTCCTATTAGCACATACCCTTAACATATCAAAGTTCCATGCTGGCTCCTGGTCTCTTCTGGCCCACAAGATGCTTCACCACTGCTTTTAACTTCCAGGCTCTTCTGGCCTGCACACCTCCCCTACTTCTTTAAAATAAGCAAAGCTTTCCTCACCATTTTGCTATCCACTCTGCCTGCCAGGGTGTAGTCATGGCAGCTTTGGACTCCTGCAAATAATTTTTGATTCTCTTTGCCCCTGAGAAGTAACTATGGCAGTTTTGAAGTCCCCATATAAACCTTCTTTCCACCTGTGGAGTAAACTGGTTCAGGGTTTTACTGCTCCATCCCTTACACTTACATGTGTGTCTATTGGGTGTGTACATGTGAATGAAGGCACCTATGGATACCAGAGGTGTTGAACACATGGAGCTGGAGTTGTTTGTGAGTCACCTTGTGTGGGTGCTGGAAATTGAACATCCATCCTCTTCAACAGCAAGAGGTACTCTCAACCAATCTTTCTGACCCCACACTCTCTGGATTTTTATAACTGGGTATAGAATGCTAATTTCTGTCTTATAGTCCTCTTAGCCTTCACCTAAATCTGAGGTTAAGATAGACCAAATTTTAACAAGTACACAAAGATCCAACAGTATCAAATAAATGTCATTCTTAAGTTTTCTAATGTCAGAAGGTGATAGACAGCTGTTTCTGTGTATAGACTTTCTTGTGTTTCCCCCAGGTCTTTAGTAGACAAATTCTGCACAAAGCATCAATTCCTCCTTAAACAGAGCTCATATCTACCCACTGTACATTTTAGGAACTAAGAAGTTGACCCGTCTCCTGTTTCAGCATCTTCATGAATCTTTACTATTGCTTAGTTAATAGATAATTGGGGAAAGGACAAGCAAATTTGAAGTGGATACTAGGTATTCACCTGCTATGAGCTGTAAGAATATATTATAGAGATTCAGCTGTATATAATAAAGCTATACATAAAAATATCAAGGAATTTTTCTAGAGGGAAGCCATTTATCAGGGAATATTTGGTGGGATTCAGCTTTTTATATATTGCAGCTGTCTTCTGCTATGAATTCTTGTGCACTCATATACTACTAGACCATATAGCAAACAGTTAAGCTTCTCAGACCTTCTGCTAATCTACTAGGTAACACTCCTACGGAGCCTAGGAAACAGGGAGACTGTAGATGCATGGCCTTTTTTCTTGTGGAACTGAAGCTCAGACTTTCCTTCCCCAGACTGTCCAAATGGCATTTCAGAATATTTGACTCAGAACAAAAGATTTTTGCAGATCCAAGTTGGAGTGAAGGGGAGGCAGAATTCTTGAGAGGCTCGTGGCTGGAGAGAAAGGAACAAGGCAGATCTTCTGTAGACAATAAGGACTGGATTACGTCAAGAGAGTAGGAAGAGAAGAAATGAGCACGGACAGATAAACTGAAGACAGAGATGAGATCAAAAGCATAGGAGCTTACTAAAACTTTGAGAGGACAGAAAAAAAAGGGACAGAGAGGAGCTGAGTTCAGGACAGAACTGAAGCTGTATAGATAGAATTTTGTCTTAGAGAAATAAAGTAAATGGACAAAAGAGAATGGTGTAAATAGATTATTTTCCCTCAGATAAACCCACACAGGACATAGCATCTTCCCCAGGACTCTAGGAAGAATCTTCTCAGGGCAAGCCTCTGGGAAAATTCTGATATCTACCTTCTGCATTTTCTTTCTTCTGTCTGTCTATCTATCTATCTATCTATCTATCTATCTATCTATCTATCTATCTATCTATTTATAGATATAGTCTCCCTACTTAGCCCAGACTGGTCTACAACTTTCTATGTAGACCCCAAATGGTGCTAGAAAAACTGGGCATTTAATGTAGAAGAGTGAACTAGATCTTTATCTCTCTGCCTGCATAAAAATCAATTCCAAATGGACCAACTACTTTAATGTAAAACTTGATACTCTGAAATTGCTATTGGAAAAGTAGGGAAAACTCACTAAAGTAGAAACATAGGATAGAACTTTGTGAATTAAACTCCATTTGTCCAGGAGATATAACACTAACCATTGATAAATGAGTTGTCATAAATGTCACCATATGAACTAGTCTGGATATTATCACAGGATGAAAAAAAACATTTGCCTGTGTGTGAATTGGAGACCCTTGCACATTGTTGGCAGAGCAAACATTGATATAACCATCATGATACACAGTGCAGAGATTTCTCAAAATGTAAAACCCTGTCTGCTCTGTGATTCAGTCATCCCAAAGTTCTGGACATAATAAAGGAAAGGAGGTTAAGATGCCAAAGAGACCTCTGTACTGCCCTATGTATCTGAGACCTATTCCAGACACCAAGGCTATGGAGTTAACGAGCATGCAGCAAGGAATGAACTGATACAGCACAGTACAGGACCCCTCACAAAACCAAAACCAGACCTACCAGATGACCCATGCTGGCTGTGTCTCCACAGGAAGAGAAGTGAGCTGCTATTTGAATTTCTTCTGACAGTTATTTGGTTGCAGGGTGCCGTTTTTTGTTTGTGTGTTGGTTTTTTTTTTTTTATGATTTTGGAAGCCTCTCAGTCTCTAGTTCACATATCCTTGTCCCTTGAAGGAAACTCTGCCCCCTCAACAGGATGTGAACAGCAGGGCAGAAATACAAGTTGAGGAGGGAACCAGGTTACAGGTTACATAAAGGCAGTGCCTTGTGATTAGGAGTCAGGGCTCTTGTGAGCATTTCCACACCCAACTATAAGGATCTTTTTGATGATGCTGAGATAGGACAACTGCAGAAAAAGTTGGGAGTATTTCAAAATGAATCAAAACCTAATCCTTTAACAATGTGTCTACCCTACATCCACATTTCTGTTGAAGAAGAATGTAGTTAGGCCTTATAATTCAGGAGATACAAACCTGTCACCCCAGTAACCAGGATTCTGAGCACGAGTATCAGGAATTGTAGGTCAGTCTAAGCTATACAGCAAGACCCTGTCTCAGAAAAAGAAAGGGGAGAGATATACTGAGACTTTTGGTCAACTTGAGCCAACCTGAAGGACATTATGATAAGAAAAATTACCCTTAAAAAGAGAGAAATACTTCATATGTGGAGCCTAAAACAAAATTCTCCATTAGTGATAATAGCGGGATGGAGAGATGTTTCCAAGGTGTAGACTAGGCAGTATGTAGGAGGAAGAGGGCGAGATCTAATGCACAGAATGAAGACCAAAGCACATCATGGAGAATTAGTGCTGCTCTCACCACAGAGAGAAATGGTACATTCAGAAGACAGACATGCTGACCAATTCCACCATCAAAATATCCATATAGATATAAATCAGGACATCAGAGCATGTGCTTCAAATGTACAAAGGAATTTATTGTAGCAAGAAAAGTCTCTTTATTCAGAGATATTTGTGCCATTATATCATTTTGTCCAGTGCCTGTCTTTCTTGGTAACACTTCTGCAGAGCAATCTTATGCCTAGCTCTCTGAGCATATCCTTGATGGCTGATCTTCACCTGGATACACAATGCATAAAGTCATCAGTCACTCAGCTTTCACTGTCTAGGACTTTTTCTTAGAGACTGTCTTCATGGTTCAGTTCTCTAGGTATTGGTTGATGTCACTCTCTAAAAGGGGCCCCACTATAAAAAGCCCTCAAATTACTGTCAATGTTCCCTAGGTCTGTCCCTTGCAGCCGGAAGTATTTCTGATGGAGAAGTGGTGTCCCTGCCTAGGTGATCAAGGAACAGTAACAGCAGATGACTCCATACAGTAGATGGAGGGGATTGAGCAGCACCTCACTCTCACATGGCTCCTGCCAGAACAGAGAGGCATTACCCTCAGTGAGGTAAGTCTCCAAGTTGCCTCAGACACTATTCCCCCAAAACAAGGTTAGTACAAGGACCTGTGTGCTACCTGGATCAGTAGACATTTTCCCTTGTTCCTCTTAGTCCATATGCTTGAAAGTCTCTGGCCCAACTTCTCTGTCAATCAGAAGAAACCTTTTCCATCAAGGAGACCTGATAACAAGGCATTTTGGTAAGATAACCAAATGTTCAGTTGTCCATCATCCTGTAACCAATCACATCTTCCCCACAGCCTGAGCAGAGGAGCATCACCTGTGTGTCCCTGTTCCTTCCAGTGTGTTAGGGCTTGAGTGGCATCTCCTGCTCTAAGCACCATCCTCTTGAAAACGTTCCTTGCTGAGTGTAGTCCCAGGAGTCTCCTTGGTAGCCCCAGCATAGGGTCATACAAGCAGCAAAGATCTTTCCCAGCCTGCTGCCTGGGGACACAAAGCCTCAGCAACAGCAATGTCCCTACAGGATGTCAGAAAGAAAACAGCTGGGATCTTTGTGTTGAAAATAATATCGTGGGGTGTAGTAAAGTGTGGTTTTGGTTGTACTAAAGTGTGGGCCTACAGAGGAGTGGGAATCTGACACCTAAATCCCTTTAAGAGTCTCTGAGTTATTTTAGGAGGTAGGAATATGGCAGGAGACCATGAGCCACCCAGAGGAACACCCTGTCAGGCTGGGGGTTGCCATTAGTTTTCCATCAAAAAGTTCTATCCACGATCATGCTTGGAACCAGCTCCATCTTTGAATCCAACTGTCAAACACTCCAGACTTCACCTTGCTTCTACTCAAAGCACAGCTGGTGGGCCTTACCTTGCACACGACCAGATGCCCTGGAGCAAAATGTGCACTGTGGCATGTGCAGGCTTCACATGGCTCCTGCAAAGCAGTAGAGCAGGGTGGTAAGTGATTGGGTTGGGGAACAAGCTGAGTTAAAGGAATTTGAGGCATTTCCAGGAAGGAAATCACAAGGAACATGAAATTACCTTGCTTGAATGGGAGTACTCTCCAGTTCAAACAAACTTCACTAGTGTCAACTGTACACAAGGTATACTGGAAGAAGCGCGCGCGTGTGTGTGTGTGTGTGTGTGTGTGTGTGTGTGTGTGTGTGTCTGTGTGTGTGTGTGTGTCCCTGTCTGTCCACATACATAGTACAGAAGAGTATATCCATACGACTCAGGTTGCAAAGCAACAAGCATGTTTACCAATAATAGTGCTGGGGTGAGTTGTGAAGGTGTCTGGATCTGGTGGGGACAGGAAGCAAGCTGTCTAGTAGGCCAGGATGGTCCTGAGAGCCACACCATAACTAATGGACTCACCTGTTCTCACACATTCTACCTTCCCAAATGAGCACAAGATGGACACTCCATGCAGACTCATTCCTCTGTTTCTGGCTCCAATTTGGTCAGCAATGTTCGTCTTGAACACATACAAACGAGTCAGGCCCCCTGTGGTCCTCCTCTGTTTCCAGTGCCGCTGTCTCTTCTAATGGCTCACAGGTACACCTGGAGACAGGTAGCTGGACCGACGATCTTACTGTTCATAGAAGGTCCTCTGAGGCCTATTTTCCTAATGACCACAGCACTCCGTTGATCCTTGTTTAAAGAACTTCTGGTCCCACAGAGTGCTTCACTTTACTGGCACAATTGTGGCACCACCAGCCATCATGAACCTACCTACAAGGGAGAATCAGAAGGATCATGAGTCTGTCAGACCTGCCTCCCAGAATCCTTTCTCAGTCCTCAGGGTTCAGGTGATCTGAGAAGGGTGTGGCATGCCCCCTCCTTCCCAGTCATCATCTGTAGACACGGGAACGCTTCGTTCCTAGTTTCAGCCTGTGATATGAACACAGTTTCCCATGGCACACAGCCAACTGAACTTCCTACCTGGCTCTCTCCTGTGCCGTGTGCATCTTCAGCACGCCGCTCTCCACTTATTAGTTTTAGCTTACGGGGAGCACAGTGCCTCCAACAGCACTTTAAATAGACACAAGAGAGGGGCCTCTTAGGAGAATATGCAGGTCTTCTGCTTGGCTGTGCTGGCCCTGTGCAGTGCTGGCCCCTCAGTCTGATTCCTCCTGAGTGCCTGTCCCATCTCTCTCTTCACCTACTCTTCTCCTCATCCATGCCCAGCCTCAGGCCACTATGCTCTTCTGTCTGTTTACATCTAGGTCAAGTTTCTCAGGAAGGATACTGTGGGATTTGCTTTCTGGTGTGATAACATAGTATCACCTATTCCTATAATCTGTTTATTTAAAAGCATATCATTTTGTCCAGGAAAAACCGGAGTGAGTAAAGGTACTTGACCCCAAGCCTTGGGACCTTAATTCATTGACTAGGACCCACATGGTATAAAGACAGAACTGATTCCTGCAAGTTAACTTCCACACATATATAGTAAATAAATATTTTTCTTTAAAGAAAAGAACATCATTTTAAAAAAAAAAGAGAGGCCAAGATACAAAAGTGCATTGTAGCCTCTCCACCTACCTGTTGTTACCTTGGCTGCCTCTGTGGTCCTTTAAGCTCACAGGCAGGATTTTGTTGCAGCCTAGGTGCTCCCTCTTTTCTGTTGGTAGGCAGCAACACAAACTTCTCAGGCCTTTTATAATTCTGCTCTGTAGGCTCTTCCAAACCCGCTTTCTAAAGGGAGCTCTGGGTGCAGTCTGGCTCCGGCCACTGAGGTGTCCCTGGGGTGTTTCTGGGGAGGATGGGCTGAGGTCTTTTTCTTGTACAATAGGACCCTCATCCTGGGCCTCCTTGCTGGAGAATGGGGGTGATCTATCCTGTGAGGTCATGTTGCTCTTTGACGCAGCTGTAGCCACACTGTGGGGCTGTCCCCTGAGGTCCTCCTGAGGTTCAGTTTGTGGGAGAGATGAACTGGTCTTTTCATCTCTCCGACTGGCTGTAGCTCTGAGGTCCTCCTGATATGAGGTTTGTCGGAGAGAAGAGCTGATATTTTTACTTGGTATGTTGATGTCTTTGCACTGAACTTCCTCCATTGGAGTGTGATGAGATAAAACCTCCTGTGAGGACACCTTGTTCTTTGATTTGTTAGGGCCAGCTTTGGACACATTCAGGGATAACTTGTTGGAAGAAGTTTCCAGTGCTGAAGACACTCTGGTACATATTTCATCAGAGGTGTTAATAGTGCTCTCTGAATCCCCCCAAGTGCTATTCATGAAGTTAGCCTCGTGTACACGATGGGGGCAGATTCTTTGAACTGGGGCTATTTTCTTGTTAGGGCAGTTCACGGTGGGAGGCATACTGTACCTCGTTTTCCCCTTTTTGTCGTTCTCAGGACTCTCAGGTAGAGTGGGCAAAATGGAAGAAGTGGGAAGGATTGGGACACTAGATCCCCTCTTTATAGCCACTTTAGGTATCGTGGGAAGGCCTGTAACATTCAAGGTTCCAGAAGACTGCTTGGGCTGAAGATCTTTTATCAAGTCATCTTCCCAGGGTGACTGCTGCCTAAGAATCAAGTAGGTGGCCATCACTTGATCAAACTTCTTCTCCTGTAAAGCTTCCAATATCTCTCCTTGCTTATAACCCATGACGCCCATGATGACCATCACAGTGGGGTCTGGGTAGCTGTCCTCATCGTTCTCTCTAAAGGGATTGGGAGAACCTTCATTGCCAAGCTTTAGCCATTGAAAACCCACAACGTCATCTATTCTTGGTCTTTGTCCAGGATTTACAGTTAACAACTTAGCAATAACATCCCAAAGCTCTGGCGACAGCTTGAATGCAACAGAGTACTTTCCAGCCAAGATTTTCTCCTTTAGTGCCCCAAAAGTAAATCCCTTAAAAGGGAGGCACCCTGTCGACATAAAGTAGAGTACAACCCCCAAACTCCAGATGTCGATTGCTCGGCCATCGTAACCTCCACCTTCAAAGAGTTCTGGGGCACAATAAGGAAGTGTCCCACAGAAATATGCTAGCTTCTGCCCCATGGTAAGCTTGGTGCCCAACCCAAAATCACTGAGTTTTATATTGCCTTTGCCATCCACTAAAATATTTTCAGGCTTTAGATCCCTGTGAGCAATCCCTTTCCTGTGACAATACTGAAGGGCACACACCATCTGTTTAAATACCTTACGGGATTCCTCTTCCTGTAGGTAGCCAAACTCCACAATCCTGCCCATCAGCTCTCCCCCTGTGGCATGTTCCATAACCATGTAAATGTTTTTTGTGGTGTCAATTATGTGCAAAAGTTTAATAATATTGGGATGGTCTAGAGATTTCATTATTTCAATTTCTGATTTGATGAAGCTATTCTTTGTGCCTTTTGGAAGAACTTTTACTGCTACCCTTGTCTGGGTGAGTAGATGGCTAGCCAACTTTACTTCTCCGAATGCTCCTCGGCCAAGGGTTTCTAGGATTTTATAGTGTTCTGTTAAAGCCTCTTCCTGAAAGGAGTTGTGATGTAGGGTTTTGCCTTGAGCCATTTCCCACTTCTTCATCTTTGTTGATATAAATGCTTGTACCAACCCCAACTAGTGATGCAAGATAAAAATTAATCAAAAGCAGGTCTAGGCGAAACATTTATAGCTATAAATTCCTGCAGTTAAAAAATATGATGGATATCTAAATTAACCTAATGATGCATGTCAAGGTCATAGGAAAACAAGAACAAGCCAAACCCAAAAGAAATAGAAGAAATGCTCAAGTTCAGAGCGAAATTTGGTGAAATGGAAACTAAATTACAAATACCAATGTAACAAAGACTTGATTATTTTAAGAATAAATATAACTGATCTGGTCTTAACCAAAATAACTAATGGAAAATTGAAGATACAATTTAATTATATTAGTGACAAAATAAGAAACTAACAGAAAAAATTGAAGATGCAAGTTAATAATATGGAAACAAAATAACATGCTATTACCAGAGATACAACTGAAATCCAGATTTCTAGACAATCACTAGGGAATGTTTCTAAAATGTTTCAGTGAATTTGAAAAATCTAGAATAAACTTCTAGACACACATTAGCTACCAAAACTCAACTAAGAAGATATAAAACACCTAAACTGAAAGACTGTCAGAGTCAGAGGCAGTGAATGACAATACAAACTGTTTTTTGAACAAAGCAGGGCAGTTGCCCATCTAAGTTTACAGCCTTGTGACCTGCTTAAGCTCACTCCAGATAAAAGTCTCAGCACGAAGAGGGGAGGTAGGACAAGAAGTCACACTCCTGATGAGCTATTGACAACTGATAGATTCCAGGAGAGGGAGAACACATTTTAAGGGTGTGGCCCCTAGTAGGTGGGACTGACCATGCTTCAGTGGAAGGCCATATATCTAAGAGTATAAGGACAACAGAAACTGTACTCGATGGCCAAAAACAAAACAAAAAGTCAAACATGGGTGGTAGGAAAGGGAGTATAGGAGATCTGGGAGGAACTGGAGGAAGGGATGAACATGACCAAAATATATTGTACAAAATTTTCAAAAAAAACCCTTTAAATAAAACCGAAATAGCAATTTAAAATAATCTCTTGACAAACAAAAAAGTTCAGGACCAGACAAACTCATTGGTGATTTCTATCAGATCTTTAAAGAAGAATTCACACCTGTGGTGATGTTTTGTTTGTGATCTAAAAAATAAAGCTTGCTTGAAGATCAGAGTGTGGAGCTAAGCCACTAGCTAGCCACAGAGGCCAGGTGTTGATGGCTCACACTTTTAATCCCAGCATTTGAGAGGCAGAGGCAGATGGATCTCTGTGAGTTAAAAGCCACTCTGGGCTACATGAGATTGACCCAGTCTAAAAGAAAAACAGAGCCAGCTGGTGATAGCTCACACCTCTAATCCCAGTACTAGGAATGTGGAGACAGGAAGGGATATGGCTGGGCTGAGAGAGGAATATAAGGTGGGAGGAGACAGGAGCTCATTGTATTCAGTCTGAGAATTCCTGGAGACAGACTCATACTCTTTTAGTTTGAGGATGGCTAGAGGTAAGAAATCTCTCTAGTGGCTGCCTTCTTTGTCTTAATGATCTTCAGGAAAGATTTGTTAGAGAATACATAAAATATCACCAAGATAGCAATGCTTCTCAGATGACTGCATGAAATTAAAAGGGGAAGGATGATTCCAGACTCATCCTAGAAGCCTGTATTACTCAGGTACCCAAGCAAAATCTTTAAAATGTAAAAAGAAACAAAGAAAATGAGTAATTAGAAAAAGAAAAATGGAGGATAGCTAACAAAGAAAATTTAAAATATGTAAAAATTAACATCTAAAACCAGAAACATAAAGTACAAAAAATAAAATGAAAAACTAAAACCAATACCCCCAAAGCACAACCAGCAAAGTGAGAGAAAAACTCACTCTGTCAAGTACAACAAGTCACCAGTATCCGAGTCCAAAACTTCACCAATATCCAGGTCCAAAACTTTCACCCACGTCCAAGTCCCACAGATCACCACCCAACAGCTCTCTGTACTAGAAGGACAAAACCCAGCCCTAGGCAGTGTGTTATATGCACAGGTGTCAGTCATTCCTCACAGTGGCTCCTTGTGAGGTCAGAGCAAGACATGAACCAATGAGGGATGGGCACACTCCTGTCAAAGGACTGTGTTAGCTACTCTGCAGTCACTGCTACCAAGTGAACCACAGAAAGTAACATAAGGAAGGGTTCCTTTCTGCTCACACTTTGTGAGAACAGGGAAAGCATGGTAGCAGGAATAGTTGGTGTTAGCATGTGGCTGCTTACACTGTACTTGTGGTCACCCCACCTCCAACACCAGATTAACAAACTGTTTCCTGGAGCTAGACCCCACCACCTAAAGCTAGACCCCAACTTTCCAAGACAGCATTACCTGCTGGAGAGCACGAGTTCAAACACAAAGATGTCTACATGGGACATTTCACAAGCAAACCCTAGGCAGAACTGACTCTACTTTAACAGTAGTAACAACAGAAATGGTAACAATGAAAACATGGGCCCCTAAAACTCTGTGTTTTATTGGGTAGATATGTTAATATTAGGATATTTGGGGTGCATGAGGTGTATTTTGGGGTATATGAAGGCTGCTTTCTTGTCCTAACATGGCAGTTTGTTATATGTTCTCACATGATTCTGGGAAGGACTGTACTCTCTTTCAGGCCCTGTTTTATAGGCAACACATTCTGTATGATGGTGAACCTCCTGGATTGGTGCCTAAAAAGGCCCCAATCTCAATATTATCATTGCTTTAGGAATGAAGATCCAACATGGATTTGGAGGGACACATGTTCTAACATGATAACCCACAAACTAGAGCTGGTCACCACTAGACTTGACCTGCCTGAGGTGAGTCTTTGTAGTTCTCCTGACTGACATCCAGCAGGATCTCAAAGACAAGGCAGAAATTCCTTGTGTAAGGTCTGAGGACCTGCCCGTTATTAAAGTTGTCATGTTGAGATGAAGGAGCCTGAGGAGCAGGGTAAAATATTTGCCTGGCCGGATTGATATGAAAGTTTTAATGAATAATAGGCACTTTGGGCAGACACACAACAGGTGAATTCTGAGAGAGTCCCTTGCATTAAAGTGAATGGGGTCCATTTTTACAGTCATTAAGAAATATTATCGGGCCTTGTCTCTTGGGCCATTTGTGTGGCCTCTTATTTGAATAGTTAAGAGGACAGACCACTATGTTTTATAACACCATTGGCTTCCTTTTGAGAATCTGACCATTTGGGGTGAGGCACCAGGAGCTGTTGAGTTAGGTTCTAACTGCCTAGTAAAGCATCACAAACAGTATCAGATCCTGCCATTTATGTCAATGTGGGTAAAATGAGAAGGTAAAATGCTGAGCAAAGGAAGCCACAAGAGGGGGAAAATATTGCATAGAGGGACCTAAAGCAAGGCTGCCCACTCTCTCCATAACTATTCAGTATAGTACTCGAAGGTCTAGCTAAAGCAATAAGACAACAAAAGGAGATCAAGGGGATACAAATTGGGAAGGAAGAAGTCAAACTTTCACTATTTGCAGATGATATGATAGTCTATATAAGTGACCCCAAATATTCCAACAGGGAACCCCTATAGCTGATACACATCTTCAGTAATGTGTCAGGATACAAGATTAACTAAAAAAAATCACTACCCCTCCAATATACAAATGATAAATAGGCTGAGAAACAAATTAGAGAAACATCATTCTTTACAATGGCCACAAATAATGTAAAATACCTTGGGGTAACTCTAACAAAACAAGTGAAAGATCTGCATGACAAGAACTTTAAATCTCTGAAGAAAGAAATTGAATAAGATATCAGAAAATGGAAAGATCTCCCATGTCCATGGACAGATGGGATCAACATAATAAAAATGCCAATCCTACTGAAAGTAATCTACAGATTCAGTGCAATCCCCATGCAGTTCTTCATAGACCTTGAAAGAACAAAACTCAACATCATATGGAAAAACAAAAAACCAAGGGTAGCCAAAACAATCTTATACAATGAAGAAACTTCCAGAGGCATCACCATCCCTGACTTCAAGCTCTACTATCGAGCTATAATAATAAAATGAGCTTGGTATTGTCATAAAAACAGACACATTGATCAATGGAATCAAATTGAAGACACTGATGTTAACCCACACACCTATGAACACCTAATTGTTGACAAAGAAGTCAAAGTTATCCAATGGAAAAAAGAAAGCATCTTTAACACATGGTTTGGCATAACTGGATATCTACATGTAGAAGAATGCAAATAGATCCATATCACCATGAACAAAACTCAAGTCCAAATGGATCAAAGAACTCAACATAAATCCAGTTACACTGAATATCATAGAAAAGAAAGTGGGAGATAGCCTTGAATGCATTGACAAAGGAGACCACTTCCTAAACATGACACCAGTAGCAAAGACACCATGAGCAAAAATTAATAAATGGGACCTCTTGAGATTGAAAAGCTTCTATAAGGCAGAGGACACTGTCAATAAGACAAAAAAGGCAGCCTACAGAATGGGAAAAGATCTTTATCAACACCACATCAGATAAAGAGCTGATCTCTAAAATATGTATAGAACTCAAGAAACTAGAGTTCTATACATATAGCAAAATATCAAATAATCCAATTAAAAAATGGGCTACAGAGCTAAACAGAATTCTCAACAGAAGAATCTCAAATGGCTGAAAGACATTTAAAAAAATGTTCAACATCCTTAACAATCAGGGAAGCACAAGTCAAAATGACTCTGAGATACCATCTTATGCCTGTCTGTTGCTGGAGGGCTTCTCTCCAGGTTCCACCAAGCTCCGCAGTCCCAAAACCCACATATAAAATAATCACTCAGATGCTTATATTACTTATAAACTGTATGGCC